CAGCACCTCAATTGTAAGTACTCGCCATCACATACTAACCCCTTCCAAGCCTTAATCCTCCTCTTTAAGTATGCTAAAGCTGTGTCATTAGCTGTTGCATTATCCATAGTTATTGTGAATACCTTGTCAATTTCCCAATCTAACAAACACTTCTCAATTGTCTTTCCTATTGTTTCACCTCTGTGATTTTCAATCATACAAAAATTCAGAATTCTCTTATGAAGTTTCCACTCAGGGTCAATAAAATGTGCAGTCACACACATGTAGTTGAAGTTTTGATTGGATGTCCAGCAGTCGGTAGTAATACAAACACGATGAGCACACTTCTTTAAAGCCTTCTTTAACAGCTTCATTTCTCCAAGAAATAACTGCCAACAATCCCTTGTCACAGTTGTTCTTGTAGGAATTGGAAATCTGGGTTCTAATTCATGCATCAATTTTCTAAATCCTTCCTTCTCAACAATCCTAAAAGGCTGCTCATCTGTAATTATAAATTCAGCAAGTGCTCTTCGACATCTCTTCTCATTATATGTGTGAGGAATCAAGCCTCTTCCTTGTCCTTGCATGCTTGCCCCTCCTTGTGACACATAATTCAGCATTGATTGCTTATTGTCTGTTGTGGCTTTGTGTGGGTTCTTGGGACATTTAGGTATGTGCCTTTTCAAGGAATTTGTCCCATGCTTAATTGGGTCACAGGCATATGTGGTGTGGCAATATTTGCAAGCCGCTCTATACTCCCCATTTGTCTCTTCTAATGGCAATCTAAAAAAAAATTCCCAAACTTGTGATGATTTTGGTGTCCTCTTTTCAGGTTCTTTTCTCTTTTGACCCTTACACTCTGCTTCCTGAGGGGCTTTTGCAGTGGTACTAATAGGAGGTAGAGGAGGTAATGAAGATGAAGGCATTGGAAGAGGTGCAATCGAATCAGGATTAGTCCCACTTTCATCTTGGGGAGAGGGTATAGTCATAGGTGTGAATGGAGTAAGGTTAGCATTGGGACCCGTGGGAGTGGAACCAGGACTGTCGTGTGCTACATATGAAGGAGTAGAAGCAGAATTTTGTTCTTCCATTTTTGTGGCCTAACAAATAATTTCATTAAACTAAAAACAGAACCAGCATAAGAGTAGGCCAGCATATCGATGAACCATTAAAAAACCAGCAGAAAAATTAAAATCATTTTCAATTTAATCAAAACAAAATAAAAACAGAGATCTCACAAAGAAAAGAAACAATCCAGCAGCAATGATACTTGAGCTTCGAATAGAGAGAGTGAAAGAGAACAGCTTCGAACAGAGAGAGTGAAAGAGAAGAACAGGTATGAAGAGAAGAGACCATTTACCTAAGCCTTGAGGAGACGAGTTGAATCAATTGATGAACTCGAGTGCGATGAGACGAATGATTCTGAACTCTAAAGCTGCTAACCCGAGTCCAAGATAGAGGAAGCTCTGAACTCTGAAGTTGCCAATGCCAGACGAAGGAAGCTCGAAAAGATCAAGGGACAGAGAGCGATGCCGGAGATGCGATTGAGAGAGAGGGACAGAGAGCGACGTCGGAATACGATCGAGATAGCAGAATGGAGAGTAACGCTGGAGATGAAATCAGATTCAGTGGCTGTGCGAGTAATCGAGTATGCAGCTGTGAGCAGGCGAGCAAGGCTGTGAGCACCGAGCACCGAGCAGGCGAGCAAGGCTGTGAGCACCGAGCACCGAGCAGGCGAGCAAGGCTGTGAGCACCGAGCAGGCGAGCAAGGCTGTGAGCACCGAGCACCGAGCAGGCGAGTAAGGCTGTGAGCACCGAGCACCGAGCAGGCGAGCAAGGCTGTGAGCACCGAGCAGGCGAGCAAGGTAGGGTTAGGGAAGTTCGGCTGTGACTGCGAGCACCGGCTGCACTATTTGTTCTCAATCTAAATCTATTGAAAATATGAGTGACCGAGTGAGAGAATTGAGACTTAGGGTTATAATATTTTTATTTCCATTCATGCCCCTCACCAATTTAACAAATTACATAATATATTAATATTTTTATTAAAATATATATATATACCTCGGGTCGGGCAGGGTCAATTGGTTGGATACCTTAACCCTAAACCCTGCCCAACCCGAATTTCGGGCTCTGCCCGACCATGCCCAATCAGTGCTGGGCACATTGTTTAGGGCTCGGGTCGGGCATATTTAACTCGGGTCGGGTCGGGCATTACGGGCATATGGGCATCTTGCACAGGCCTAGAGAAGACATTACAATTAATCCATTGCTGCAGGTCTCCAAGCAAGCTGAATGAAGGTCAATTGAGCATCACTTATCCGTGACACTGGTCTTATAAATAATTCTGAAAATGGAGCATTAATTATCTGGGCAATGGACTGCCCCACATGGTAATGATCTGGAGATCAATTCTGATTGTGCCTCTTCAGGTCAGATGGAGAAGCCATGTGACTTAGCTTGTTGGTGTGAGATGCTGATAACATCTGCAGGCAAAATGTCTTCCGTTTGAAAATGTCATCTCTCAGAAATCCTCAATCTACGTGGATCCCCATGAAAGCCATCGCCATTGCTAGTTTTGCTTCTTCTTCTTCTTCTTCTTTTTGTAACGATTTTTTTCAAAAATAAAAAAACATAAAACTTTATCGTTTTAGGATTTTAAAATATTAAAACGTTTTTTATTTTAAATAAAAGCCAATAATTAAAAAAAAAGACGAAATCAAAAGGTTAGAAGAGGACAGATTAAAAGTCACTAACCCCTATTTTGATGATTCATATATTTGTTTCACCTAGAAACTCCGGTTTATTTTTTATCTTAATTATATAACCACATGATCTTGTTGGCGGAAAAACTTGTAATGAATATTCGATAAAGTCAGGAAAGAATACTATTGAAGAAAATAATCACTTTCCTCTTTCCCTTGGCGACCCCAGCGTACGTACTACGTACCCTCCATCCCGGCTAAAGGGATGAGGCTCTACGTTTTCAATCACGAGCAACTTTCACAAAGATGGAAACAATAATCAAAACACAAAATATCTATGAAGCGCGGCTAGGATTTAGGTGGAGAGGACGATTCTTCGTGAATATAAAAATGCGATAAATTCACATAAAAATCATCATAAAATGGCAGCAAAATTTTAAATGTAATTCTACTTGCAATTGTTTAAATTAGTGGCCAAGCGACATTGGGTTGAGGGAGTGCACCCCGTCACTTTGAAAAAAGGTACAAGTAGGGTATATAGAATTTACAACTCTATACTCCATACTTTTAATATTTTACATCTTTTGAATTAAATAAAAAATATTTAAGTTCAAAAAATTATTAAGTATATAATATTTTAATAATTTAGATAAGATATGAAGAGTATATTTATAATATAAGATCATATTAATCTATTTAATATAATTTTTTAAAATTAAAAATAATGATAAAACTATTTATATTATTATAATTTTAGTCCTAACATAATTATTATTTTTATTGAATTATTTTGCACCCCTAGCTCAGGTCGTAACTCTGCCACTAGTTTAAATCCATATCTATAACATTTTTTTAATTTTTTTAAACTAACTTTCAAACTATCATTTTCTTAAAAGTTGTTTTAAAATTGATGATAGGCACTTATTAAAGTGACATTAATTAAAAGAAGAATATAGCGAAGAATTAAAAATACAGGCGTGGCCCCATCGAGGGCTGAATTTATAGAGATCGATCGAAGCTGCAATCTGCATCACTTGAATACCACTCCAACAACAATGACTGAAACAAGTCAACGGCAGCAGCAACAATAATAATACCTTCCTTGACTAAATAATTTCATTCACGAACCCTTGTGATTAAATAAATTATTAAATTCAAGCAAACAACGGTTGCGCATAATCATGGATCAAACAAAATGTAGGTGTCATGTTTTTAGGATTACGGTGCATTCTTATCTAGAAGATATATCAACTATTCCCAGTATATAATTGTTTGCTGGTCAAAAAAAGTATATAATTGTTTAAAATCAGTACTGCAACGTGATCAACCTTTAACAGTCAACATTAAATGAGAGGTTGGAAATCCTTTCTTAACCCAACATTGACCACTAGAAAGAGCATTATTGTACCCATTTTAAAAGATTATAAATTAAGTTTCTGCACAATTTTAAGTTGCCTACAGCTACCTCAAAAAATAATTTCAGGGCAAAGATGTATTTAACACTTCTTTTTATAACAAACATGAAATGATTTACAATGTTGATAAATTGTAAATAATAGAATTTGTTGCCACACCTTTTATAGTTTACATTGATTAAATATTGACATTGATATTTTTTTGTCAGTTTTATACAATATACTTATCTTTTTACTGTTTTATCAAATATAGAATCATAGCTTATTTTTAAAATTTTAACATGTAAACAATAAATCTGAAGTCCTTTTTTTTTTTTTTGCATTGAACGAAAACGAGAGAATAACTAAGTATAATTTTAAATAATAAGATACAATTGCACAGTAATACAGAAAGTACCATTAAAATAAATAATATAATTGGTATATTAATATACAGTATACAATTTATAGTCTTCATTTAGAAACAAAACATTGGCAAAAAGGGAGAAAAAAAAGAAGTAAAACTTCTCTCGAATTAGCAATCCGGCCTAGTTGAAAAAGGTCCTGCCGGGCTCCAATCCATTGTATAAAAAAACATATAAACAAGAAATTATTTATTTATTAGCTGGCTATTCTATATGACACCCGTTTATTTATGTTTTTTTTTCCCAATCGCATTAGGTGGTCATATAATAAATTAATAAGTAGAATTAATGAGGATGTCCTTTTAGTGTATTGTTCCCTTCGGCCGCAGGTATATGTCGTCGCGGCGTCATAACTTATCCCATTGTATTCACCAAACAAAAGAAAGAAAGAAATAAAGAAGGAAAATTTTTTGGAAAATTAGGGTTTAAGAATCACTTGGTAGAGTACCCTCTATACAGCTAAGCTCCCGCGTTCAACCAATGGGAATACAGGGAAAGCAAAACCTTCAATAATAATAAAGCAAAAAAGGAAGGCCATGCCATTCTCTCTCTTACTCTCCCTGCTCTCTGTATAAGTATCTGACCTTCTCCCGATTTCGCCCTTGCAGGTTCCCTCTTTCTCCTTGATCTCTTCTTCTCAGGACTTAGATCCCATCTCAGCTGTTCTGTTACATATTACACTTCTCCTTCTCTTTTTTTTTTTTTTTTGCTCCAGATTTTTCTCTGTTCTCCAATCATGTGTGTGTGTGTGTGTGTGTGTGTTTGTATTTTCGAGTTTAGGTTATGCTTGATATATTTTCCTACACTTAAACTACTTCCGACATTTCCCGCCTTTCCAGTTTTCCTTGAGCCATCGTAAAAGAAGATAGAGATTTGTCCAGGTGGAGTCTTTTGGCTCTAAATCTAATAATCCGAGAGGGATCATTGCTGTTCGGGTTCGATTTTGAAGAGTGAAAGAACTGGGTTTCTTGCCCTTCCTCTTCTTATTTTTTTTTCAAAAGACTTTTCTTTTCATTACCCAGAATCTTGAAAACGTTTTTTTCAGAAGCCATACAGTTAGTCAGACCTGGAGATTTCTGAGCTATTTGCTTGCCTCGAGATCCCTTTCGATCGCTCTCTACTGTTTGCTGTCGACCTTGATTCTAATGCTGAAAGCATAAGGCTGAAGAACTAAAAAGCGAAGATTGGGGTTTGGCTTTTCTTTCGTAGGTTTCTCGAGGGATTAGTTCTTAAATCAAACATGATTTTTCCGGGCTCATCAGCTCCTCCCGCTGCCAAAAAAACTTCGGTTTTTCACTTTCTTCTTTATCCCCTTTACTTTCCGCTAGCTTTGTCTCTTGCGGTGTTCCTTTCTTTTTCTGATCTGTCTCTGGGAGACTATTTTCAGCGAGCTATAAGGCTTTTATTCCTCCCTTTTCTGGCCATATATATAATCATTTCGATTCGACGATGAGATTGGTAATCCCGTGGATATTTACTTTTTTGGGCTATATCATTGCATGGGCAGAGATTGGTTCAGTCGTTGTTTGCAGATGTAGCATCATCAAGATTCACATGCAAATGCAACAAGTGGAAGCGGGATTGTGAATGATGGATACAATCTTATCAAAATCTCTGTCTCTCTAGCTACATAGTTTCTTTCGGAAGTGAGAATCTTGATGATGCTGCATCGGCCATGAACGACTTTGTAAAAGCAAACAGCCAAACACCCAAGCCTCTCAGATTCTGTCTGCTGTGCACAGTGAAATAACAACAGGTGACTCATCTCTTTCTTTCTTTCTCTCTACTTTCCCTCTTGTTGTTATCGTCGTCAGGTGGGTCTTCCTAATATTTAATAAGATTCTTTAAGTCTTGTGATTTTATTTTATACAGAAATCAACAACAATCTCTAGATCCTTCGCATCTAGCAGAGGAAATCCTAGGTTATCAAATATATGTGTAGGATATATTTGGAGGCTGTGTTTGAGCGGCGGTTAGGGCCTTTTACTGCTGCTGACTTCACAGATCTATATATGAATATTCTTGTCCAGCAGATCATGACTTCATGCTTGGATTAAAAATAGTATCTTTTCACTGCTTTCTCATCCAGATCTATATATCCTTCTAAATCTAGACTCAGAAATAGCACCCAGATTTGGGTTTTAATTAGGGTACGGAACCCTTACTTATTAGTCTTATTATATGTATACTATTCATGGCCTGTGATCTGAAGACATATCTGTATATATTATTGATGGCTTGTGATCTGAAAATATATCTAGGACACAAACACAGACTATCTGTGACTTGACTCTGGGTCTTCTATAATATTATAATATACATGATTAGAAAATAAGTTAAATTGTAGACATTCTTGCAAGTGGGTGACAAACACACACACACACACACACACACACGTGAGGAATGAAGGTCATTGAAATTTGAAATTGAAGCTGGCTTCTTCGGAACTTGGATTATACATAAAAAAAAAAAAGGGAACAGTTTGTTTCACTATTATGGGGAAGGAGGTGACTTTGGCTTTAATCAGAGATGAGTGTGTTGCTGGTGGACCAACTGAAGCAGATAGCTAGGGACATCTTACAAGTTGGGGTTGGATTATCGGTATCTACTCTATCCTCTATTTATTCCCTACATATTTCACCAACCACTTACAACCCTTCTGATTTTTGCACGTATAATACTGATAACAAATTGAAGATATTTAAATAGATGGATATTTTCCCGATTTCTGCGCTTCATTCTTCATTATAGATTTAGTTTGGTTGGAGATTATGAAGATTTGTGTCCCGTATTAGGGTCTAGTTTAGAAATAAGAATGAAAACTAGAACGAATCTTAATAGAAGTTGGCAGTGGTAGCTTGAAAAAGAATATTGAATATATATAATACAAAAGTTAAGCTAATTAATTATCATAATATAATTGGGATAAATATAATGATAAAATAATCATCTTATTTGCAGCGGCGATGGATGGCAACTGGTGGCGCTCATGGCGGTGGCAGTTAAGATGATCCGTGTTATATTAAGTCGATTTTATGACATAGTTCGCATTTCCGTCCGTTTTAATTTACAGTCCAAACTCTTGCTTAGAAATCTTTCTCTACTTCAAAATGAGGTTATATTCAGGCGACAATTGAAGGAAAAACAAAACAAATGCAGTTTTTTTCCATCTCAGCTCGTCGCTCTCAGATGATCAAGGCTCAGCTCTCCTTCGTCATAAGTTTATGAAGTTTGTGTAATTTGATTCTCTGAGGTATTACTTATGAACTCAAATGAGCTAATAAATTTGGTTGGAAGGCTACTATGGTCTTTTCCGATTTGGAGTCTCCGGTATGGAAATTGTCTGTAATTACATGCATGCTTTTGTAAGTTAATAGTATATATATTCGATGCAACTTTTTATCCTTACTCGTACACTCTATTTACGTTCTTACCGATCAGCTTCATGATGTTTACTTTTCTCTTGTTCCGCACTACATTATTCGTGTTTTTGTACTGATGTCTCCCTCCCTCTTCACAGCTGGAAAACACACACAACAACTATATTTTAGGGTTTGAAAAATATAGATTAATGCTCACCAATTGGTATGAGACATGATCATGAACTGTCAATGAATCCAGAATGTTGATGTGATTAACTGACAGAGAGAGAGAGAGAGAGAGAGAGAGAGAGAGTTATGTTATATTGCTATCGACTAAATATTATTATAAACAGTGGATTCGATAAAATTTTGTCATCTCTATGACTATAAATCTGCATTTCTGCTGCTGCCATATCTGGCTTCAGTCGAAATTATCATTAGATTTGATATAAATTATGAATGCCATCTTGATATGAAGTAATATATCAAGATCGAATCTACAGTAATTGAAGTTTGAACTGGCACATTTGTTTAGGCCGGTCTTATTTTGTAATTTGTCCAGGTATATATACATTCTTCTATACGAGGTTTGGCATGCATTATTAATTGATTGGGAGATGTTACTATATAAGATAATTACAAAATAAAATGACAATTATATCATGGAATAATGTATCTCATTCTTTTTCTTAAATGGTTTTCCTTCCTTGGAATGATATTTGCTACTGGTATATTTCTTTGAAGTGAAAAAGAACGCACACAGATCGAATAATCCCGTTACTCTCGTTTTAGAGGGGAAAAATAGTGAAGTCGATTAGATTAAAAATAAGCATTAAAATTAAAAGCATGTTAAGGATTAGGACTGCATTACTTTTGATGTAGGGCATTTTGGTTCTGAAAAGTTCTGAAATAGATTCATCACACCCTCGATTCAGGTGTTTCAATAGGACCACACTAATTTATTTCCGCAAGCACTTTTCCCTCCTTCCCATTTTTTCTCGCAAGGCACAATTTGTATTCAGATAATATATAAATAATTTTATTCGGAAACTCTGTTCAAGAAAAGAAATATAAAATGAAAGAAATAATAGAATGTGGACAATTTCATATCAGTTTCACATATGAGAGAGGAGTGATGGTATTGGTCCCAATGGATCGTACGTTGGGGAGGCAGACATGCAACCCAAGGGACCGGCTTGGGCCCATATCCCCAAGTTTCAGTGTACAGTATTCTGACCTGTTAAGGACTCTTACGTCCCCTGCCTTCCACTGTCCTTTATTATTATTATTATTATTATTATTATTATTTATTCTTTTCATATTTTTTCTTTTAATGTAATCCATTTTAATAACCTAAATATTGGTTCAAGAGTTAATTAGAAACCCTAATCAAACAGTTCATAAATAAAGTATTTCATTAAATCAATAGTTTATTAGTTCAATCAGCTGGATTGACCAATGATTTCAATAGTATAATAATGTCATAATCATATTTATGTGAATTCTGCATACTTCGATGAGATCTATAGTAAAAATAATCATAATTCAAGGTATAACTGCCACACACTACTTCCTTTATTTTTTGATATGTCGATTTTATGGAAAAAGAATTGTTTTTATCTTTTATTAATATTTCGTTTTGTAATTTTAAGACAATGTCAATTCCCACTTTACCAAATATTCCTTACAAAGGGAGGGAAAACAAATCATTGGGTAACTTTTATTGGCCAATCTTTAATAGAGACATATCTTAAAAATAATTAAAAAAAATTTCACATAGTAATTGCTTTTCTAATCTCCGTGCAAAAACATTAAACATACACCGATGAATCATAAATAATACTATTCACATCAAATCCCGTATGATGGAGGGGATTGATATTTACTTATTTAGTTCAAGATATATTACAAAGTACCACTGAGAAAGTTTTTTATTTTTTTAAATGTGAGTATTTAGTATGTTGGGCCCACCTCACTAGAGTTGTGAATATCTAATAAGACCCAAACTAATTTCAATTGATTATGCATGACAAGAATCATTGAAGTGGGAGCTCGTAATCATTTACATTGCTGCATTCTTAAGATTTAAATTTGAGAATTCTAGTTATACTACTTCACATTCATATTTTTTAGAATCCAATATTATGAAAATTAGATCGGTCATTAAATCAGTTGAGATATCGTTCACGGTTCAAGGTTGAACCGTGATTTAAATCGAGGTTCAACCGGTCATAAATAAATTAATATATTTTAAATATTATATATTTAAAGTATTAAGAAATAATCATATATGGTAAGAAAAATAAGTATGCAAATTTTGAACAAGATAATTTATAATTTATGACATCATTTCCACCCAAAATTTATATAATATTTCATAACTTATAATTTATAACTTTAAAATATAAATAAATATACATAATTCATACATATTTTTTTTTATTTTTTCATTCCATCATGAATAGTAGGTATAAATATGTATAAATTATATTTTAGACATATGAATCAAAAATAAAAAAATAACATGGCCAGTTTTACTGGTTTTGGCAGGTTTGCAGTTGGTTCAACCGGTTCATGAGCTATTCACAGAAAAAATAATTTTAGCTGTAACCGGATCGGACCTATGACCGGTTCCCGATTCAATCAATCGGATTGGCCGGTCTGATTTTGATAATAGTGGTAGAATTTTTCATTTTTTTGAAAAAAAAAGACATTTGTATTGAATATATATTTGATGTGATACACCTGTTACAGTTCACATGCATCGCGTGCGCGCTTGTTGGCATTTGCTGTGCATAAAGAATCTTAATGATAATCAAAATAGAGATGGACATTTAGTTTAAATTAAAATCATCAATTAATTTATTTCATATTCTTATTGATACCTTGTATTACATTCGAAACATTTGTTTGAAATTTAGTAGTGACATTATTTTTTACGTTAATATATTTTACACGCTGACCCACAAGCATTTCTTGTAAAAAAAAAAAACTTCAAAAAAATTATAAGTCCATTTGTTTAAGGTTAAAAAATAAAGAGATTTTTAAATAGTTTAAAGATTTCATAAAAAATACTTTGTAAAAATTTTATAAAAAATGGACATTATTTTATGTTTCATTACACTAGGAATAAAGATTATTAGTTAATCATTTTAAAATTTCATAATATCTTTTTTATTTTTGTTTTATAAAAATGACTAATTATTTTAAAATTTATAATATATTCACATATTTACGTTTTTAAAATATTTTTTCTCGTCTACCATATCAAATTATTTTCAAAAATTATTTAATGTAGCTTCTAAAAATAATCAATCTTTTTTTAAATTTCGATTATTAACAAACATTAAAAAATTATATAGTAGATTTAAAAAAAATAATTTTTTCATAAAATAAATTAAAACATATGAACCCATATCCAATACATTGTATCGTCTTTCAACTAAAATCATTGCAAGATATCATTAAATAGTTTAGAAAAGTGAGCTTAGGAATAACAACTCAATTCTCAACCTCTCTTCCTTTCACCCAACGTTGATTGAGCAGCACGCTTCTAATATGAAAGCTGGGGCAGGTACTTGTTTGAATGTTTCAAGTCGAGCGCTCGCTTTTGCATCTCAAGATACACGAATTTGATTCTGCTGGTTCTAACCATGCTAATACACTCAGCAAAATCTCAATCCATGCCAAACAATTACATCAAACCAAAAACAAAAGGAAAAAAAAAAGTAGAGAGTGGAAGTTTTGGAAGGATAACTATACAGATAGGACATCGAAGGATACGTAGATGCTCATACCATGGGCCAAATGGCCAAAATAAGGGGTGGTTAAGACCAATGCTAGCTTTGAGGAGAACCAGAAAGGATGGGATCAATTATTGCCGCACCATTCTTTTTCAATGCAGGAATACTAAGAGAACGTTTTCTCAATTTGACTTTGCTAGGATGTAATCTACTCTCGCTGTTTTCCATAAATACAGACGCATAAGAGCACAAGGGCCCAGGAACTGGTTCGCTTCTAGTTCTGAGGTAGAGACCATGGTTTTGACCATCCTCATTTTCCGGCACATTAGTTCTATGGTCCCCACGACCAAGCTTCCCTTTAGACTCGTCATCATCACCAGACCAATAGCCATTTTTCACCGTATCTTGCATTGCCAAATCATCATACTCTTCATCAGACTTCGTCGATTCCTCATCAACTGAGCCTACCTGCACAACAATGGAAAACTAGAAATTACAACTACGCATTGGTTTCATACTCCATACAGTAGCTTAAACTTGGACTCAGTCCATTCGAAAATTTTCACAATTTCGTGGGCTTTGAAAGGCAGCTGATCTCATTGTTACAAGAAGACCAGCACGGATCAACGCCCATGTCAGCTCAACTCCACTCTACAAACTCAATACCAGTAATAAATATAAGATCCAAAAAGGCAATGGTATGATTTGGAAACCAAACTCTAGGGTTAATTTCATTAAATATTTACAAATTTGAAATCATTAAAACTACAAGCTAATTCTACCTCATCATGGACTCGTGTGTCACCATCTTCACTGAAATCCTCATCGCTGCCCACCTCGGGTGGATCATCAATCTCTTCATCACTACCATGCACTGACTGCTCCTCCTTAAGCTAAAAAGGAACACTAAACATTTATCAAAATTAACAAACAAGAGATGAAGAGATTTAAAATTTTTATATTTATTTCCCATTGACATCAAGCCCATAATTTCATATTCAACTAAGAAGTTACTTAAAGGGGTTTTCCAAGTTTACCTCCTTTGCAGGTCCATCAGACAGCCTTGGTGAGCTGCAGCAGGAGGACAAATATCTACTGCCAGTATCAGTCCCATCAGCCCTTGACTCATCAACACTTCCAGCACCACTAGTACCACCATCACTGGGCCATGCACTGATCCCGTACAAGCCAAACTGAAGATTTACAGGCTCAGCCTTGCCAATCATTAGAGGTCCATACCATGGAATACCTATTCCATGAACTGATCCATCAGCCCATAATGGGTTTCCATCACTATCGACGGAATTAACAGGCCAAACCTTTGCGACAGACCCATCTGTATTAACGAGAGCCATCAGATGCCTTGAAGAACCTTTTCTCTGGATCAACTGAAACATTCCTTTCGAGCTCAAAGAATTGGCAGCACATTGATTTCTATATTCCTCATCAACAACAGTGACAGTGTTCCTAGTAGGATCATACAGTAGTTCCCCGGCTTCGCGCCTGCGAAGACAGCTGAAGACAGTAGCATGGATAGCTGCTACACTCTTGTCAACATTAGTATTGTTTATTTTTGGAACTAAATGCTTGTCAGCACGCTTACAGAGATAATCCTGGATTGTTCTGATGTTTCGGATATACTTTACATATTTATTTCTTGCTGGGTCCAGAGTCATATACTTTGCACGTACAGCAAATCGTTCCAAATGCTTATCCTCATTTGTAATGTATATCATGAATGGTATGATCGAAGGATGTTTCTTCATTAGTCCCATCTGTTCCATAATTTTTTTACTGTTATTATCAATTAAAATATATAAATGATACCTAGGAAAGAAGAAGAAAAAAAAGGATCCAATAAAGAAAATTTGACATACAACAAAGTTGAGGCTCAAGTGAACACCCTCAACTACAACGGACTCTTTCCGTTCTTCCCAGGCAGTGATTAACCTATCAAGACTGTCAATCACCATCTCACTCTGCGCCTTAAATCCTTCAATTGCCATTTGTTTTGGATTTAGCAGTTCTGTGTTAGTAGCACCCACATCAGGCATCAGCCCATCAGATTTCCTGGAATTATCACCCTCAGTTGCCTCACCCTTGGGAAGTGAATGTGACACACCAGCCAACTTTTTGGCTTTCCTTCTAGCCTTTGCTTCAGCAACAGCAATAGGATCCAAGCACTCGCCTGCATGGTAAGTAGAAGCCCATAACAAGGGGTTTTCCTTCTCATCAACAAAACTTCTCATCATGTGCCTAATGGAATCAGTTGACACCACCGTAGTGATTCCCAGCCTACTGCCCTGAAGTGAGGATATAAATGGTATACTGAGTTCTAGAACCACAAGTTCATAGGCTTTCAGTTTCAACATTATTATTCACTGCAAGTTAAATATCCTACCACATAACAAGTAAAACTGGCACTACATATTTGTAATTGCTAAAAGACAACTACTTCTCAATGCAAAGATACCAGCAATGCAGACAAAGTTGATTTGCCACAGCCACTAGTGCCACATAACAGAATTGTTACAGATTCCTTCCGTTCTCGAATTCTGCACTCAAAACAAAATCATAGTTAACGGAGAGAAAATGGTATGATGTAAAAGATAATATCCTCACCATCAATCACTAGCATAAAATACAACCAAACCACAGCTTGATATAAACATTAGCACACGCCACTTCATATTAAAGCACAAGAAGTTAAGTAAACAAAAATCCATATGCAGCATGGACACTCACATGGGATACTAACCTGGAAACAGGATACAAAATGAGCATTGTGAGTCTGTGACACATCCAAAGGATATAGGTGGTTTTTGAAGTGTTGCAATATCTGCAACTCAAATCCTTTTTCAAATAGTTGGTGTAATTGTGCTTCATAACTTGCTTCCAAAACAACATTGAAGGGAACTTTGATTGTCTAGATTTTAGGCGTGGCAAATAAAATCAGAAGTGGAGGCACCAGAATTGAGTTGGGAACCTTTTGACCATGTAACTATAATAAAATCATCTTGGTAGTCATTTAAAAATTGTCCTAGAGTCCCTTTCACAAGTTCCTGGCAAGTTTATAACCCATATTTAACATAAGTCAAACGCTGCTGTTTAGAGTATATACATGTCAAGTTCAGATTAGGATGAGACAGTGCATATTTTGGTGAAATAACAGTCAATAGACGCAGCATATCTTGGACATCCGTAAACATTGAACAACGGAGATGCTGAACCACTGATTGCTGTCACCAGGCATAGGTCTCTCTTTAATGGCTAGAAATGTCTCTCTTCAATTCCAGACAGGTATGCCAAAAAACAAAAAAAACAAAAAAAATTTACACCTGGATGAAACTGACAGAGTTTTAAATTCAAGCATCTAAACGAAGATATTTTCCCAAGTAGATTATCATAACAAGCCAAAGTGGCTTAAAACACTTAAGACTCCTTAATACCAAGTATGATAATAAATGACAGTCAGGCTTAAGTCCAGAAAATCACAGTCAACTACTGAAATGTTTATATTTTATAGATGTTTTCAAATTCAGTACCAACCAAGGGAGTACACCTAAACAATTTAACGTGACACAGGCCAGTCTCTATAAATGTATCGTGCTAACAATAATTGTCAGGAAATATGTTCTTGACCCAGAATATGCAGTCACATAGAGTAACTTTAAACACAAAACTTAACGAATTCCATTGCATCAAAGCAGCAGCGGAAAACCAAACCAGATTTCCCCCCATTCTGATCAGGTTACCGAAGATCAAAATAGTCCCCACGAAGGTAGTAATTGATGTTATACCTGCATGCTAGAACCAGATCTGCTCTCTGGTTGGGTCCCACATACTTATACTCAGCCAGAGCCACACAGACAATATCTAAGAAAGTTTCTCTACGAACAACTGCAGTTGTACGCCTTTTGTACAACTCATATAGTGCACTCTTAATTCTATTATCGTTCCCAGAGAATGAGTTGTTCTGTACATCTGCTTTAGCAACAGCATAATGACCACCGTCTATCTCAAATTTTTCCTCAGCCACATCAATTCCGGATATTAAAATTCCTTCAGACAGCAAAGCATCAGGAGAACTCTCACTCCTTGTGAGTTCAAACACCCTTTTACTGATCTGGTAAAAGAAAAGCACATTCAGAAGTCTTGTGCAAAAGGTTCAGAATGTGTCAGAGTTAAAAATGTGATGTGAGACTGACAATCAGAATGTCATGGAGGCAGCTAAGTTTGAGATGTATAAGAAATTAAAGTAAGGTCAACTGATAGATGCCAACAGTGATGACTAACCATGATATATCAGCAAACTATAAAAAAGCCATCATGTATAGATAATTTTCATTCCAATTGAATAAACTTAACCCTTTATGACACTGAAAGTGAGGCAATATTGAATAAACACCAGACTTGAGCACTCTAGATGTTCAACCATGTTAATTCAATCATGTACCAAAAATAAGCATAGAAGACGCACAATGTCAAAGCCCAAGATATTTATCATCGTGCCAGCAGCCAAGAATCAAGGAGAGCAAAAATAACATACAGACGTAAGCAGGACAACATAAAAGATCAGGAAACGTTTGCATTTTCCTTAAAGAAAAAAGGTGGCAGAATCCCGATGCTCCAGGTGTTAAACTCATTGAGCGTGGAAGAACACAAAATGGAAAGACACAGAAATAGATCTTTCAGTCAGGTAATACAACTAAAAAGCTACACAATTTGGGGTAAATTAACCACTTGTCTAAAGAAACAAAAAGTCCAGATCAACGGCGTTAAAATACACTCAGACGTATCGCAAAACTCACGATCTTGTCCTAATCAATGAGGAAATCATTAAAGTACCATAAATAAAAATGATTCAAGTAGAATGAAACAGAGGACGACATAATAAAACTTTTCAGCATCAACCAACACAGAAACGGATATAGCTGTGAATAAATGAGTTTTATATTTATTAACTAAACAATTAAATTGAATTGAAAGAAGACATGCCTTAAAGGCATGTCGTGCTTTACATCCCATGAGCTGCAAAGTGCTCTGTAGAACAGGGCGCGTATACCGAAATGACTCCTTGCCCTTCCCTTTCTGCTCATCCTCATCAACCACCACGATATACAGAACTTTCCCTACCTCAGCCATCCCTGCATATTCGTATGGCACAAACATTCAGAGAAGGATCACGCTCACGATAACATTAATGAAAAAGCAACTCCAACTTGCACTGCCAGCGAAAGACATGAACTGATATAAGAAGGGGCAAAAATACCAAAGTAAAATGCACGACATTTATGTGTCGTGGGCCCATTGGAATACGTTTTAAAAAAGAATCCCGGGAAAATTTACAAAGATCGGTGAAGGAAAAAAGAAAATCTGAAAACACCGACACTTAACTGCAATGTGACGTTCTGGAGGCGGCAAATGGACGGAAACAGTGGGAGCAGAAAAGGATTTAGGATTGAGCAATTCAAATCTGAAGGGGGAGATCAAGCGATCCCGATGAGTAAAAGAAACGCGTAGAAACGAACCACGTGAGAAGATCAGAGAGAAGACACTAGGATTTGGACAGCGTTATGATCTGCCATTTGTTAGTTTTTTAAAAAAGCGATCTCGGCATGCTCCTGATCTAAGCTGGATTCATCTGGTTTCCCCGTAACTCTCACTCTCCACGTGTAAATGACGGATTTCGCCTTCAGACCGTGGAAGAATTTCAACTGCCGCGATAGGTCGCGCCAAATGCGAGCGAATGGAACCCTAGGAAACAGGATTAGGTCAAGGGTGGTGGAATCGTTGTGGGTCCGCCCAACGAACACGGGATCCTAATGATAGATTCTGCAATTAAAGGGAAAAGGCAGGGTCATTGTGTGAATGGGCGACATCGAAGCACAATTGATTGAATGGTTATTTATTTTTGTGTTTTGATTTCTGATCATAAACCCAATTGAATTGTTGATTGACCCCTCTAAAGTAAGTAAAATTACATGACATCCAAAATAGATATACAAAAATAAAGTGTAAATAAATGAAAATATTAAAGTATACGTGTGGTAATTTTACATAAATTTTTTTATTTTTTTATTTTATAATGTGAATTTTCAATTCTTAAATCCTAACATCATTAATTTTATTATAAATAATTTTTATATTAAACTTTTAAATATTAATAAAATATTTTTAAATATCAACTTATTAATTTTAATTTTGCTTAAAATGATAATGATTACAGTAAAAAAATAATTATTTAAAATAAAGTTAAGTGATTGAAAATATATTTTATAAATCCAGATAAATTTTATATAAAATTTGAGAATAAAAAATATACGTTAATCTAAATAAAAATTATAGTTTGATGGAGGAACCGTTGAAATGAATATATATATATATATATATATTAAGAAAAATATACCTTTTAGTCCTTACATTTTACTCATATTTTATTATAAGTCCTTCTATTTTTTTTAGTGTTTTAAAGTTTTACACTTTTATTTTTCAGTATTTTATGTTTATCCAAGATTTCTACACTTTATTTATTTAGGGACTTAAAATATTAAAAAATAAAAATATAGGAATCCAAAATACTGAAAAAAAGTGCAGAGACCTATAATAAAATATGAACAAAGTGTAGGGATCAAAAGATATATTTTTTTTATATTTTAACTTATATTTGTGAAGTTTTGGTCCTCATTCTATTCATAACTACATAACATGCATATTAAACAATGTACTAAAAATCCAACACTGAAAAATACACTTGTCATGTCACAAGCTCAATGGTTCAATTGGTTGAACAAATAATGTAATAGTTAAATTTAAAAATAACATTTTATATAATGACATATGTACAGGAAATAAAATATCAAGTCAATAAATAAACATAAAAATAAATTTAAAAGTTAAAGTATTTTTAATTATTTAACTTCACACAAAATTCCATTGTGTTAAAAGATTAAAAATACATTTTATAAAATTAGGAGACAAAAATAAAAATTTATATAAAATTAGATAATTAAAAATACTTTAATTTAAATTTAAATAATATAATTTTAGAGTGAATTAATAAGATTCTGTAATATAATAACAAACTCCAAACCTCGGCAAAAACAAAAAGTAGGGTAAAGCATACTTTTAATTATTTAATTTTATACAAGATTTTAATTTGATCTCTTAATTTTATAAAGTATTTTTGTAGTCTCTTAACCCTAACATCGCTAGTTTTAAATAATTATTTTTATACCAATTATTGTTATTTCACAAAAATTAAACTTAATATATTAATATTTGATAATATTTTGTTAATATTTTAAAGTTTAATATAATTTTTGTGTGTGATGAAATTAATAATATTAGGATTAAAAAATAAAAAAATAATTTATAAAATTAAAAAATAAAATAAAATTTTATATAAAATTAAAGGGTTAAAAAAAGTAACTCCAAACTCATGTAAGTAAAAGCATTTTTGGAAAGAAAAATGGTTAGAATACCTAAAAATTTTTTATTTTTAAAACAATTACGTGTAACTTTTCTCATCTTTAAAAATTTAAAATTAATTTTTTAAATTTTTTATTTTATTTTTTAAAACCCCTTACTGTTAATTATATTATTTTTTCATAAAGGTTAAAATGTTATATAACTAAAAAATGTTATTAAACAATATATAATATTATAGAACAATGGCTAACTAATTTTTTATATTTTTTGAATAATCAAGGCATTGATATTAACTAAAACAAATGTTATTATCACCATATAAAATTTTAAATATTTAATTTTATATTAATTTCATCTATTTTTTATTATCAATGGTATATAGTTTTCTTGTGTTAAAAGACAAATTAATCTAACTTGATAATGTATAAAATTTTAAATATTTTAACTATGTGCATTACATTAATCTAACATGAAAATATAAATAAAAAGTTATCTTTTAAAATAATAAAATCATGCATCATTGATAACAAAAAAACATAGATAAAACTAATATAAATATAAATATTTAAAATTTCATTAAGTGATAATAACATTTTGTTTGTATACCTCAACTTTCAAAAAAATATAAAAAATATATTATAAATAATTATATGATATAAATTTTTTATTTAATAATATTTCTTAGTTGAATGACATTTTAATCCTCATTAAAAAATAACATAATTAACAACAAAGATTTTCATAAACAAAATTAAAGGTTAGAGGTTTTAAACTTTTAAAAGTAAAAAAAGTTACATACAACTCTCTCAAAATTTAAAAGAGTTTTATACATTTTAATTAAGAAAAATTATGCATGAATTTTTTAAACCCGCTTCGAATTCCAACTTCACAGTTGGTTCAAAACAATTTAAGCCAGTCTAACAATAAAAACTTACAAGCATGAAATCAAGACTTTTAATAGAGCGTGTGGGGGTTTTCTGGCCTGAATCTTAAAACATTGATATTGATGTTAATTAATACATTTACCAAGGTATAAAAATCATTTAATAATTAAAATGAAAGGTTCAAGACGAGGATAAAACCGGGATTTGACATTCAACGCTCCACTTTGTTCTGATACTAAAACCGGGAGTACTAATATTTGAGAAGACGTGTCTGATTTTGACGGGGTAGGAAGAAAACAAAGCGGAGGACGTCCATGCGACTTTGCTGGTTTGTGTCGTTATGTGCCGTTACTGGGTCATTGACGCACATTGATCCTGTTGGCAACTTATAGGCTACTCTTGAGAAGCCATATCTCCAATTAAAAATTTAATTGCTTTTACATGTCCAAGTGGTACTCTCGAGAATTCTCATTAATTTGGACTGTGATCTGCATGTTTGGGGGTGTGTGCGTATGCACTATTTAGGAGGCCGAGTTTGAACGAGCAAGGCCCTCTTGCATTCCGTCCTAGACTGAAACTATCTTCCGCTCCTCTCTCTCGCCGCATCCAA